TGAATATACGGTCCATATTCTACCAATTTGACTATTTCATACATCTGTGTGTGTATATATAAATATATATTATGTACTTCTAATTTCAATGTTGTACGTAGTCTTTGTTTTTTTTTTTTTTTGGGAAAATGGTAAAATGTCTTTACGGAGCTTTCGGTTACTTAAAATACAAAAAAATGAAATGGTTGACTATTCTATCAATTCGATTACTTTATACATATAATATATACACATACTTGGAAAAAGTTATTGTCTGACTATTAATAATGTAATAAGAAAAATAAAAAAAAAGTAATAGTTTAATTTTATTAATTAATATAAATTTTAGAAATTAATTAATAAAAAAATCAATTTCAAAAAAATTGGAAAATAAGACTCGATATTACTAATACTAATGCAGTATATCCGCATACTATACATACATATATATATATATATTCGTACGATGGATATCAAGTTTTCTTTTGGCTAGTTAGATGATTTACTAGTTTATAGATACACGTGTCACACATACGTTGCAATATTCATATAAGATATTTAATTTCAGACACTAATTTTCGAATGCATGCACATACGTACCAATATATATACACGTGTACAGGTATAACTATGAATATTATCGAAACATCAAATTTGACATTTATTATATGAAAAAATAATTTAATATTAGACCTGACGAATTAAATCAAACTTTATTATTGGACGATAATATAAATCTCGCCCATTTTCCAATTTCACACATTCTAATGAAAACGTTTCCATGAGTAAATAATAATAATAATAATAATAATAATAATAATAATAATAATAATAATAATAATAATAATAATAATAATAATAATAATAATAAGAAATTAATAATAATAATAATAATAATAATAATAATAATAATAATAATAATAATAATAACGACCCACGGGTATATATATATATACACACATACATACATAACTGGGTTACACTGATGAATTCATTAATTGAGGGGAATAAATGGCAAAAATCAAAACGTATGTGTTTGTTGAGAAAATAGCCCATGATTCATGTAAATGTAAAAAGTCAAAACATGGGTGCTTGTCATGTAAATATAATATAATACACACGTAACACACGTACGGTTTTTCATTTTGACTTCGAGATCTGGATACTTTGTCCTTCCATGTAATATTCAAAAATCAGTTGAGATATTTAAATTTTTTATTCAGTTAAACGCCCAATATTGACCCAAAAACAATTTCGAAGTGCCATTTATCTCGATTTTTTTCTTCATTATTAAAGAGATCAAAAACAGAAAAAAAAATCGGGTTGGTGAAACTCCAAAGTCAAAAGTAAATTGATTTTGATCCTCTAATTGCTACAGGATAAGCCCTTCATTTTTAGAAATTGAATAAAATAATATATAATGTATCTACATACTAAATTTAGTTTTGAAATTAACAAAATTTATGTTTTAAAAACTAAACCAAGCGAATTCGAATAAAATTTAATAATCGAAATAAAATTTAAAAATAATTAATATTCGATATAAAACCCGGAAATCTACAATTTGTAAGGAACTAAAAAAATACAATTAAAAATAAATATTGGCTCTCTAATGTTACCTTATCGGACACTTAAAAGATATTTGTCAGTATTTACATTCCATTCCATATATAGTTAGATTTGAATTTCAGCATCTAAAATAATCGTAACTAATAACATTAATTAATTGTTTGTTTAATCGTCCCAAATGAATTTGGGAATGAGGCCATGTTGTTGTTGTTTAATCATCTTAAAACCTTGTAGGTTAAATCAAACAAATTTAAAGTATCATGACAAATATTTTATTAAATATTATGGTGGCTTTGTTGAAAAAGAACTCGTGTCTTTATACTCCATAATAAATTTTAAGATATCGATAAATCTTTACCTAATAAAGGTTAACTAAATTTGATTTATTTAATCACCCAAGAATTAGGCTACATTATGCCTAATCTACAGCTAACCCGATGTAAAACGTAATTAAATTTCTAAATCTCTGTATTTAATAAGTTCTCAAAAATCACAAAGAGCACGTAGATTAAATACAGAGATTTACAATGAAGATATTTATTTCAAACATGTAGATTTGTGTCACACAATGTATTATTATTATTAATGGAAATAATCTTAATCTTTGCATAAGGATATTTATACTCTATACGAACGTATATAATTTAGAAATATTTATAAAGTATACGTGTTGTAACATATTTGAACTCGTAACTCGAGAATCTCATGGCATAGGGCCAAAGGCCAAAGGTACAACAACAACGCCTTAATCTTAAATTTATATGGGGTCGACCGTATAAATTTTTTTTTCATTCATTTCGGTTTTGCATTATTTTCTCCGATATTTGCAACATATTCAAATTATTTCTAGTAACTCGTTCCCAAAAAAGTGTAGGCTTACCTCTTCCTCGTTTATTAACTTCCATCTTTATACTCTTTAATTTTCTAACCAGAACATCTAACAGTCTACGTTTTACATGTCCAAACCGCTTTAAACGTCCCTCACGTAATTTATCTTCTATGGTTATGATTCATAATTTCTCTCTAATACTCTCATTTCGAATTCGGTCTATTCGTATATGTCTGCACATCCATCGCAAGATCTCCATCTCAGCCAAAAGATTCGTCATCCATAAATAAATGAAAAAAAATAACCAAATAGAGGCAGGTAAAATTCAAACCACGTTTAATTTAACCAAGATGAAGTTTTCATCCAACCAAAACTTTAATTGATTATAAAATTAAATAAATCTTTATTTTCTAAAACTATAGAAACACCTATTATTTTGTATTATTCTATTAGTTTTCTGTTTTAATCTGAAACATATTTACAGTATTAGATCATTTAATAGATAAATCTTGCAGACTAAAGTTTATTTTTATATCGAACGTAACAATAAGAAATTATTTTAAAATTTTAACGTAAGAAGGTAGAATTCCAACAAGTAAGATAATTTTAAATTAAAAGAGATATATCAAATAAATAAAAAGACGAATGAAAAAACTTGTTATTTGGAGGTTTTCTTCTCAAATAAAATAAAAATATATTTTAATAGATAATCTAAGAAAATCTGTAAAATTTTAGATATATTTACAAACAATAAAAGTCTATTCATTTTTTAGTTAATTAAAGAGTTTTTGTGATATTGTTAGAAATTATAGATTTTTTTGTTATTTTTCTAATTTTAAATTGAAATTTATTGTGAGCAAACTTAAGTAGGGTCCTTTCTCGAGACTTGGGCATGAAAAAGCAAATTGCTAGTGTTTTAAATTCTTTTATTATGTAGACTAACTTTTCATTTGTTTCATTTAAATCTATTTCAAAGGATAAATAGTAGAGAGAGACGCACATGCTTACATCATTTTTATAATACTCTGTGCATAATTATTAAGTTATTAATAATATTTTCAGGAATAAAATTGGCATTTCCATATTTAAATCATTTATGAACGCACGCATTATATTATTGTACAATATACTCAGTCGTACAATTGTTACTTAGAAAAAAATAATTTTTTTTCCTAAGAATACGCCACGAGGGTCGAGGTAAAATAAATTTATGCATGTGGACCAAATAAATATATGCAATGCATTAAATTGCAAAACGATGGATTTAAATCGTAATCGTGAAAATTATCATATATCAAGATATCTTTGTACGCTATCGTTCAACTCCAATTATGGGCGACAGGTTGCACCACCGCTATCCGCAAACGGAATGGTTGTTATTTTCGGCGGTTGCAGGCGATTGAAAAACTGACTGGTTAAATTGCAACCACCCGCAACCGCAGCCAAACTTGTGTTTTCTAATCGCAACTTCTAACTTGCGTTTTGATAGCGGTTTCGCCGTTTTGACAAAAAAACTAAAATATCCTCATTAAAAATTATATAAAACTCTAATATATATATTGATGATGATTTTGTTTAGTTTTATGATTTGATATTATTTTTTAGTATTATATTTTAATAAAAAATATATAATAGTATACTTTTTAGATTTTATAATGATTATTTTTAATAATTTTTATAATAAAATTATTTTTTACTTAAAAATAAATTAAATTGATAATATTATATTTTAAATTTATTATTTAATCATTATAAATTTAGTAAATAATTTTTAACTAAAAATTTAATTAAAATTATTATAAAAAAATTATTTTAAAATAATATTTTTTTATATAATTTATATCAAAACGCAACTGCAATCGCAACGAACCATTCACTTCTAACCACACCTACCCGCAATCGCTAACTTATCAACCAGTCAGTACTTATCATTCATAATCGCTATCAAACACTTTGAAAACGCCGTCACCAACAACCGCAACTGCTACGGCACAACCAGTCGAACCCTATAATATAGTTTTTGCTCATCATAAATCGAAATTACAAGATAAATTATTTATTTATTTTAAAAAAATATCGCATTTGATATCGTGGGCCTTTTTTGTTCCACTTTGGTTATCCATCTTAGACATATGGGCCCTCTCATTCGGGCCCAACTAAAACGTATGGGCTTCAAAGTGGCCATTTTTTTGTATCGAGTCGGTGAATAGTGGAGAATAAGTGGTAAAAGATACTTGCATAAAAAATATTTTTAACAAAAAACTCCGTACTTAATGAATTTTTATATATAATGCATCAATTATTTTAAAATATCACAGGCATAATTATAAACACACACACATACATATATATAATATTAAACAAAATATCTATATTTTAAAATTTTTCTTAAAATTTTGATATATATTAAATTTATTATTAATTCCATAAGATTATAATTATATTAAAAAAATTCCCACAATTATATAAAAACTTTAAAATGGTTGATAAATTTTTATGAAAAAAAATCATATATCTTTTGGAAATGGTTGCAACTTATATATTTTACGGGATTTTTACGTGCAAACATGCATTTTTAAACAGACAAATCACCAAAGCAATTAGTCCTAAGCATGATTATTAATTACTGAAACCGATAAAAAAAAAATACCAAGTCAATAGTACGATTTACAACACAGAGAAATACATAATATATAAACTTTTATAGACCCTAATAATAATAATATATTTCTTTACATAAAAAAAAAAGATTTTCAAGAATCGTGAATCAATACGATCACCTCGGGAACTTATACCTCAGTGCTTAAACCGGGCCGGTACACGCAACTTTTAGCAATGACCGTACCGGTTTGATCTACAAAAGACACCTCCATGATCACTAAACCGGTATCGGTACACCAATCAGGGAGGCTGAACCGGTTTTGAACAGCTACTACTAAGACAGAGGCAGCAATATCAAGAGAACCATAGACAAGACAGAGATCACCAAGCGATTCACAGCTTCATTGTAGAGACCTGTAATAAAAAAGATAGCATCTTTCATTCCGTTATTGAGTTCCTCTGATTTGTATATTGTATCGGATTCTCGGGTTTATATCAAATTCGCGACGAGAGTACGAGCTTCTTTCGACGAAACGTAAAGAGTAAACTTACTCGGTTGAGAGGATGCTGCAGCGGGAAGAGCCGGGATTCTGACAGCTGCAAAAAAACCAAATCTACTGTCATCAGAAGATGAAAATGTGGAAAGTTTGAGACTTTATACAGATTAGTGAGAAGATGTATCAGACTTTTGTTACAGGAAGAGGCGGGTGATTGAGAGGAGGAAGAGGGCCATGGAGCTGGAATGTTGTCGTTCAGATCGCAAGTGAAGCTTATCCCCGTGGAGTTATCGAATATCGCATCAGATGGTAAGCTTGGCAAGAGGCAACCCGACACTTTTAAACAAGAACAAAGAACGGGCAGAGTTTAATCACTCGAACCAAAATTTTTAATAAAGGATTTGGACTTCTTCATGGGGAAAGATACCGACTAATCGAGTAAATACACTTTACCTTGGCTTGCGACTGATAAATTTGAACCCAAGAGGTGGAATTGTGCCAGACGGGCGAGGAGTAACCGCAGAGAATGAAAAAAATGCAAAGGGTTAGAACAAGAGAACATGAATGCATGAACATTCCGGGTGAAGATAATGGAAATTGGCAAGAAAGTATTAACCTTGAATGGAGAAATCCTTCAGGCTGATATGACAAATGCTAAAGAGATTCTTGGTGACGTTGAGCTTCTGCAGCTTTAGCCCCATAGTTGAAGCGCAATCCAAAGCCTGCAAGTTGGTGACGAGTGACTGCTTCTGCAAGTGAGATACATAGTTCTCCATGGCAAGGCAGCAGCCTGTCTGGTTACTGATCCCGTCTCTGCAGCTATTCCCGATGTGCCTCATGTGCGGGAACACCAGAGGGCAAACTGAATCAAGAAACACATAGATGTTCATCCAAGAAAACCTTAGCTAGAAATTCAGTACCAAAATCATGTTCTTAGTACAACTTTAGGGGTTTTCAGCACTTTCCATTGTGTAAAAGACAGTAAAAGATCACAGTTCTATTGCCTAAAACTGGTCAGGAAACCGATAGATACGTAAATCGAGATAGCTGACAGGTTTTAGTTTAGTGGGTTGGTACAGAAAGCAAAGGATGATATATACATGTATAAGGGACTTACCTCTGTTGACATTACAGTTTGTTAGCCCTCTGAGAGTTTCCTTAGCACGAGAAGGATCGAGTTTACTAGCAAGCCAACGGTGTACGACGCTTCTGCAATCATTTATCCTCTCCGAGTTATCTGTCAAAGGTTCGGATGCTTTCAGAGCAATCTTAGTAGCAGCATCAAGTATTGCATTCTGGCAGTTCTGTTCACAACATTCCTTCACAGGATCAACCTTTTCACATGCCACAAGAAGCTTTGAAGCATCTACCAAGCTTTCGAACTCATTAACATCAATGATGGGGCAGGAAGAAGCCGTAAGATTTGACGCACGGACAGAACATATCTTCATAAGCTCATTTGAAGCACCTCTTGCCACTAAAATTTTCTCTAAATCCGAGAGACAGTGCTTGGATTGTGTCCCGTTCAAGGCAAGCAGCCCACTTTCTTTGCTCGATTCTCCGAGGAGAATCGCTAGTGTAGCATCTAACTGAGGACAACACATAACATCAGCCAGGACAGGGGCCAAGACAAGCCAACAGTTGTAGGAAGTTGTCTCGATCAAACTCTCAGATGCTGAGAAGTTAAGTGAGCAAAGCCCTGAGACAAGGAAACAAAGCTGAGAACTGAGCCTGTTTTGTATACAGTTCAAATGATCAATAAGGATATTGGAAGAAGAAAAAAAACACAGAAGGTGAAGCAAAGACAAACCCGATAGTTTCGGAGTGGTTCTGTTTATGAATGGAACCATCGGAGACGGTGCAATGAAAGGAAGAAACGGCTGAGGAGAAGCATCAGGAGATATCTTGGGCAAGAGGTCCTCATGTTTTTCCGCTGAACCTAAACCAAGAGACAAGAAATGTTACGAAAGCTGGCCAAAGAGCTCGCCGCTTAGAAATTGCCCCCATTCTAAGTAAAAACCAGATCTTCCCGTTTCAATACACAACTTGTTATAGACTTAATCCGTGAATAGCAGATTAAGCAAATACAGAAATTAAAGCTAGCAAACCATCACCACACAATGGCATTGTTCTTACTATAGCTTACTTCCCTGCAACAGCACAGTGTGCCAACTAGACAAGGAACCAAATTCTAACCCTCAAAAAAAAAAAGAAGAAGCCAGAATTGCATCATCACAAACCCTAATCCAAGAAATCTACATGTTATGGAGCTTTAAACCCACTGATTGAAGAGACTGTGAGCTTCATACCCCAACTGAATTCAATGCATTAAAGCAATCTGCTATATTTATCCATAAAGAGATCAAATTTACAATGACCCACCACATTAAACATGCAGATGGAATCAAATCAAGCAAAACACAGCATTTCAAGATATTACCCTAACTCTCTAAATTCCTCAGCAACATAGAATTTCACAGGCGACCCATCAGAGATTGCACAGGCATAAACAGAAACCTTTGTACAAACATTCTTATAAAGTTATAAACACAACCCAATTCAAGAAATTTACCAAAAAAGAAACAGAGAGAACACTCACATAGAGACAGAAGGAACGCGGCTTGAAGAATCACAATGAAAGCCAGCTCGAATTCCATTCCCTCACCTCCTCTCAAGCCCCAAAGACAATATCCAGAAAAGAGAGGAAGGAAAAAGATTTTACGTTGTAGTGGTCTCTTTCAAGGCTCAGAATTCAGACAACCTCGGGCTTTTTTTGGGGACTATGTGTCTTTTCCCAGTTGTGTTTGTCCGAACAAAAATCAAGAAAACGAACAAGAACAAGGAGAGAAAGACATCTCTTTTTTTTTTGCGCAAATGGGCTGCGGCACAAAAGCAGTAAACGAGAAAGAAAAACTTAATAGAAAACGATAGAGGAAAAAAAGCACAACCCAAGAACAGCTGTCTTCTCCTTCTTCTTCTTCAGAGAGAGAGAGAGAGAGAGAGAGAGAGAGAGAGAGAGAGAGACCCCACAAGCAATGAACTCAGTCTGTTGTGGAAGGAGGGAGGAGCACTTGCGCATTTATTAGACCCCATTAATGGCCCCTTTTTAGTTTTCTTTTTTCTCACTCTTCGTAGTGGACTATCCACGTTAAACCGAACCGGGTTTTTAACCGGAACCTTTGGTCTACTGACCGGTTCAATGTCTACCGTATTAAAAAAAAAGAAATAAATGCATTACGCAATAGGGCAAAAATGAATTGAAAATAATGGTCTGTCTGTTTATTATTTGGTTTAGGGCATTATGACGTCAAATTTAACAGTAATACAAAAAGAACCTAACCGAATTGGACAGAACTGAACCAACACTGGACCAGATAATAAACTCTTTTAATTGCGGTATTCAAAAATAAATACACCAAAAATAAAATTGTACGAAAAAATAATTACATTGTATTGTGTTTATCCGGGAAGGGTTTTTGTTCGGTAGGTGCATTTAATATTAGCCCAATTTTTTTTCTCTCTCGAATCATTCAGTTAACCGTACCGGTTATTTCGCTCCACTCGTTACCGGTCCACTCGATTTCGGCACGTCGTTGAATAAAGTTTTTGACTGCAGAAGAAATTGAGATCGTAGAACCAATTAGGTTTCTGATGAAACCGGCGGGAATTACCGATCCAACCGGTTTGTGAAATCATCACTGAATCTTGGTTTTGGTTTTGGTTTTGCGACGATAATACACAAAGCTCGGGGCACGTGAAAGTTACGTGATTCCTTACGACTGTTATTATTGGGATTGTTGATTTCAACAAACACATATTCAATGGCTTCACATTCGGACACGACTTTTTGGGCCATTGCCAAGAGAGGCTGCTGAACGAATTTGATATCAAAATGGATATGATTTTTTTAAGGATACAAAAACTTGAATTCGAATCGGATTTTATATGACTATATTGCATTTTAAAATATATAAAAATAAATATTTTATCAATAAAAATCGAATTAAATTCATACAATAATAAATTTTTTAAAAATATAAAACCCAAACCTAAAAATAATCAAACCGGATATTGGGCTTTCAGTTTTTTAGTGGGCCTATTTGTTTAATCATGGGCCCAAGCGGTACTCCCGTGGGTACGATTGTATACATCCCTTGTTGG